ACAAGAAACGAAAGGCCTCATGATGACATATAGAAGATCTGATTCACTCCACATGGTGGGATATTCAGATTCTGATTATGCGAGAGTGAATGCATATCCAGACGTGGAATTTCTATCATCTCGCAAAGGGAAGCTATTTCATGGAAAAGCTCAAAGTAAACTGTCACTACATCGTCCACAATGTATGACAGTTTGTAGCGTGTTATGAGGCAACGGGCAGGTGAATTAACTAACGAAGTTCATACCCGGTTTGAAGGTGGTTGACGACATCTATAGACCACTAAAGTTATACTGCGATTATAATCTGGCAGTAAAGGATGCTCACAACATAAGTCAAGTGGTGCTGCCAAACACATTGACATAGAGTATTATGTTGTGAAAGATAAAGTCCAGGATCAAGTCATAAGTCTTGAGCATATAAGAACAGAAAGGATGCTCGCGGATCCGCTTACAAAAGGCTTACCACCCAACATGTTCAGAGGACATGGTGTTCAGAGAACATGTAGCTAGCTTGGGTTTAAAGGAAAGCCTAAAATATTCCTGGACAAAAGAAGGCCCAAAGATAAGTATCTATTTCAGAACAGAGTAGTGAGTTGTAGCTGTTAAGTCTATCGGCAATGGACCGTGACGACGAGACATGCTCTATGAGCTAATCTGTAATGGAATGAACAAAAGTAAATGATATGAAAGTGAAAGATGTAATGAGATCAAGGAGGAGAATGTTAGTTGATCTCCACCAATAGGCCCAACGGCCTATTGAGCCCCTATCTCTGCTCCCTGATTGGGGGAGCCCAACCCTAATCCGGTTGGTGGGCCCCTGTCGCACAACACACATAAAAGGAAGGTGGGGGTGAGGGCTCGAATGAGGAGGTTCAACGGAGCCGCCACCCACCTACAGAGAAACCCTAATCCGATCCTAAAGCGTGCTGCCAGCGACGGGATGAGCCGGCCATCACCACTGCCGTCGCCTATGCAGGGACACCACCGGCGCCACTGGATTGGGTCTCCGCTGCCACCACTGTACCTCGCCATCGAGTTGGAGCTGCCTCGGCACTGGCGTCCGCGAGGCTGCATCCAGGGCGGCATCGGCGTCCACGCTGCCGCTGCGGTGAAGCTCCACAAGGTCGAGGAGCCTAACTACGGATCTACGGTTTACACACAGAGGTACCAATCTTACGATCCTAACATCTATGACATTGAATTTCTCACTCTTCATATGAAATTGTCAATGCGCTGAAACTGAAATCTTACAATCCTGAACGAGATTCAGCACGTATGTGATGGATCGGCAATGTCAACACACGAAGAACTATCTGCTGAAACTACCAATTACTGTAACAAGTTCATGGTGTAGCGTTATCTGTAACCTCCCATATCATTGTTTCGGTAGTTGATTTACATTATCAAACACAAAACAGAAAAGGCAGTGAACACATCTTTATCTATAAATACCTGCAGAGAAGAATCACATGATAAACTCTCCTGATCCATGCTACACTAATTTTATCTATGCGCTAATGCAGCACTGAATTGTTCCTTTAGCTGCTCCTGTTTATTCGGGTATAGTGACCTTCAGATTATTTCCATTTTATTCGCTGAGAAGGACAGGACCGTTTGACACCACAAAATTGTTTGTTTAGCTGCTCATATAATTTATCGATGTGGCGCTACTGAATCCTCTCACCTGTCTAAACCTTTGGTCAGTTCTGTTGTCTTGTCTGAATATGTTTGAAGTTAAAGAACTTTTAGACAGGATATGCTAATCCTTCCCCTCTGAAGTTTCACTTTCACGCGCAATCGAACCTACGTCCAGTCAAAGTAAACTGCAGCTTTCACTTGTGTTCATGCAGGGACAACGATCACCACTAGCATCAATGTCTTTGTCGAGTGCCAACGATCACTTGATACATAAGGCTTAGCTAACCCACAAGCGTCAAGGTGTTTCTGAATAAATCATGCTTTTGGGGAATTGACAACTTGTTAGCGTAATCTGCTTGTGATCATGTTTCTGGTTGCTGTTAAGTTAGCAAGCTGCTCTCGAACACAAGATAATCGCTAGCACACACGCAGCTTTGAAACACATGGACCATAGCTTCTGGTTTTTTTTCTGAAGGGGGATTTAATATAATGCGTATCATTTTATTGGACTTGAATTGTGTTGTCATGCTTTGGATCCCGACATCATCATGTTGATAATTAAATCCCTCCAACAGTTTTTTCCTATACATGGCACTGTCAGGGTACAGCAATGTTTGAAGGACAAGATAAAAAAAAACTTGCAGCTGTTGTAGGCCTGTAGCAGTTATTTTAAGCTTCTTATCTACGATTATTAGTCCAGTTGCAGGGTCGTGTGCTGCAGCAGTGCTTTCAGGTCATATATTTTTTCAATTTTTCTTGGCATCTTATCTGTATCAGCTTCTTGTTAGTTCGATTCTGCATTTGCCGAAAGTATTTTAGAAGAGAGGAGCTTTGGATTTTAAAAGGCAACAGAGGATAAAAGAGGACTGTAAGTTCAGAACTTCATTTAGCTATACACTAATATTTTTTGCTACTGTTTAGTCATGGCGCTGCTAATGTCTCTCCTCATGTTTTTACAGGCCAAATCATGCAAGTTTCGGCTATCGTTGAGTCATACCACTGATGATTGTTGTAAGAGTTGATTGCAAGGATTTATGTGTGGATAGATTGTGCTTGTGTCTTTGCTGGTTATGTATATCTTTAGTTATGTAGTTGGATAAATGTACTAGTTTTGTGCCAAGACAAAATGCCTAGATAGACCCTATTTATTCTTCTATATCGACTTGTTCTGTTTGTGTAACCTAATAAGCTGTGGAATATTGTGAAGGCTAGTTTCTATGTAATCATGCTGAATTTCGACACTACAATAGTATTTCCGAGATCTGCGATTTTAGTATTTTCAACACTACAATAGTATTTCCGAGATCTGTGATTTTAGTATTTCTGAAATCTGTGATTTTTTTCTGATTGTTTGAATGTATTTTCGTTGGCTGAGATTTCTATTCCTACGTATTCCAAACGGTGTCACGGAATTCCTCCCCGATGGGCCTACTGTTACCTGGTGGGGAGAGGGTAGCATGTGCATGGAAGAAATTCCCTTTGGGGTCTACATACACGTGTTTTTTCACCCCTCTATCCAAAGGAGCCCTAAGGGATTGGGTCTCATCCGGCAGAAATGTTACCATTCTATTTTTTTTTAACCACGGCCTCGTTCGCGTGCTCTTAAATCCGGCTTGATTAGCTTTTTTTTTATCCGGAACAGTGTTTTCCTCTCACAGATTCCTCCAGATTCCTCACAGCGAACGGGGCCCACAACTTGGATTATGTGAACTATATGGTACACAAATGTAGGTTGTGCCGAAGTCCAAGGAATTAATTATCAATAGGGTAATGATTTGACCCGCGATCCAACAGAAATACGCGAATGTAAAATCCCAACAAGCCAACATGGAGTTCTTAACCGATTAGACAGTTTACTGAAATGCTGGGAGGCATGTCTACCTCTGGCACGGCATCCCCAGATTAACAGCCTACCAAGTTGAGATCAACTCCTGAGTCATCCTCGTAAAGGAACTGATTGCACCCATTAATATCTCGCAGCATGCAGTTGAAAGAGCCTTGTCACTTGAGAGTTGAGAAAAAAAACAAGAAACTAGATTTCTCGATGAGGGGAACTGACGATGGTACCACTTTGCCATCCCTCCTTGGTCATCAAGATACTTAGGTTTGCTTGCCTTTGTTCAATATAATGTGGAACAAGTGCCTTTTCAAACAAATGAAATAATAACTTCAATTACCTCCGGTCATTTATTTGGAGCAATGCGTGATGGACTATAACATGAAAAGCAAGGGACCTCATAAAACTATGGCCAGTAGACAAGCTTGCCTGATAAAGGCCCTGTTCGCTGGTTGGTTTCTGGGCTGATAAGCTCGATTGATGCTGGTTTGTTGTGAGAGAAAAACACTGTTGGTTGGCTGATAAGTCCTGCCTGAAACCAATAAACGAACAGGCTGAGGTATATATGTAGGACAAATGAGCAACTGTGCAAGTGGACCTAAAATGCCTAATATGCCAAAGTTTCATCCTCACTCCGGGCTCAAAATGCATGCCCTACTACACAGGAACATGACAACATGGCCCTCAAAAAGCATCTATGACTGCTAGTATTTCCTAACATAATTATAGAAATGATTACAATCAAAATTTTTTTTGAACGCAGGGGGACGAAGAGTCCCCGCCTGAATATATTACCATAGATTCTAGACGTGGTCTAGTGAGTGGAGGGTTAAGGACCCCAAAGTTCGGCTTGGCGCTAATTACAACTCGACGAGAGAGAGGGGAGAGTAAAATTACAACACATAACAAACACAACAAACACTACACGATTCAGCTACCAGACTGAAGCGAGTGGAAGCACTACTTGCTAACCTATAACACCACCAATGACGTATTCCGAAGAACTCTAGCCCATATGCAGCGGTAAGATATTAAGTTGGATCCAACAGACGACAACTATGAGGCATTGAGTTGGAGCCAATAGACGACAGTCGTGAGTAGCATCGCCTAAGAGTGCATCTAGGCTCCAACCAACGCCCACCAACGCTATTTGGGGGGGGAGCCTCAAAGGGGAGGAACGCCAGGAGGAGAACGAGGAGATCCAGAGAAGAGATCAAGGTCCCCTCAACCCAGCATATGATGAGGCGGAGCACTCAAGTGATCTAGAGGACGACAGAACAAATCGTTGATGGCGAGCACCTGACAGCAATTAGGGTGGGAGAGCAACCAGAGAGAGCACAAGGTGGTGCCGGGCGCGGCCAAGAACAGGCGTGCTTTGTGTTGATGCCTTCAAGAAAGGAAATGACGTCCACGGACGCCATCATCGATGACCGAAGCACCAGGCTCGTAACGGCTTTCGCTTAGAGACCTGCCCAGCGGATGTGCCAAAGCTCGGAATTGCCTTCGCGAAAGAAGGGAGTGGAAACTACAACGACGCCTCTAGGGAGGAATATGATGCCATTTGCGCCATGGACGTCGGCCCGGAGCAACAGCCAAGCAGTGCTTTCACCCAGATCCCAAATGCTTGCAGAAGCCCATCCAGAGTGAAACACGCCAAGCCGAACTTGCATACGACGAGTTGAAGCCAGAGTTGACCGGCGGCGCCGGAGCTTTTGTACATGCTACCAGCCTTGTAGATGCCGCATCCCTGGCGAAAAGCGGTCTTCCAGATGCGCCAGGACGGCCACCGCACGGGGGAGTGTGTAGCCGGAGCAAGCCTCCCCTCAGGCCACCACGTAGGCGTAGGCGCAGCGCACAGGCCACGCCTAGGACGAGCCCTAGCCAGGGGACGCTCGTCGAGAACAACATCCTGGGCGGTTTCCGTGTGGATGGACGCCCGGCACGTCCTGCCGTCGTACTCCACGCGCAGTTCCTCCAGGCGCCAGGCACCACATAGATCCATGGCTGCTCTCCCCCTCCGACGTGAAGGTCACCAGTTCGCGCAGCAGCGGCAACCCCGCGTGTCCCGTCGGGCCTCCACGGGCTAGCGCTGGTCACCGCCTGGCCCTGCCAGCTCGCCCGCCCGAACGCAACCGCTTCCAGCTAGCGCGCACGGGGCGAGGCCGCGCCGGTCACCGCCTGCCGCGCCCGCCGGAGCCCGTTCGCCGTCCATGCGCCGGATCCGGGCCGGGGGTCGCTGGATCTGGCGCCCTTGCTTTCCCTGTCAGCGGTGCAGCCGTCGGTCGTCGGCCATCCCAGCCGCCATGGGAGGACGGCGGGCCACCACGCTGCCATGGCCGTCCGAGGACTGGAACCATCAGATCCGGCCAGGCTTGTAGACACCGGAACACCATGGGAGCCCCTGGTCATCCCGGTGACCATGGGAGCCGAGTAAAGGTTGAGGAAGGTGGCAGAGAGAGGGAGGAAGACGATGCGGAGGCAGGATTTTTGAGCGCGACCACGGGCCACCGCCACCACACGTCCGTGAGCAGCAGCGGCGGCCGGGGGGCTGACCCACGCTGGGGGGCCTTCGGCGGCGGCGCAGTGTGTCGCCCCCGAGCCGCCTACGGAGACGACGCGGGGGTCGGGCGGCCTGAGATAACTGGAATTTTGCCATTAGAAACCCGGGCTTCGCTCGGTTGTCATCCCACAAACGAGATTTGCTCATTTGTCATTACGAAACTAGAAATATTTGTTGGAATACTCTTTGAGTATTTTTTTACTAAATTTTTTTTTTTCGTGGCCTCTTTTCTTTCCCGTTTTACCCCTGCTCACCGCCCGCTGACGGTGGGCCCGTCTTGTCATCCCCCTCCTCCGACTTGTCCCCGTCGTCTACGCCATAGTTGCGCAGGGACCGAGCAAGCCGCACAGACCCCTTCCGACTCCCTGGTCCAACTCCATCACCGAGTCCCCGCTCCACCCTCGCCAGCCTCAGCCGCTCCCTTCCCCCGGTCTCGCGTGTGCCGGGTCAAGGCCGCCATGGACGGCATGCCCCGAGCTCGGGTCCTTGCCCCTCCCCTCCCCTCCTCGGCCTATAAAAGCCACCCTCGACACCGCAGAGGCACGCCGCCCCTCCCCGAGCTCTCTCGCTTGCTCCAGCGCCCACATCCGCCGCTGCCACCACCATAGCCAAGCCAGCTCGAGCTCACCCAATCTACCCGCACAGGCCACCATTCGCCTCTCCTCTTCCTCCGTTGGCCTCGCAAGGATACACCGCATCTGATGCATCACTTCACGCCGTCGATCCGTGCCATGGCGATGTCGGTGGGATGCTGGCGAGTGTCTGTCCCGTGAGAACAAATGGGATCGATGGATTGGATAAGGATGCTGGTGAGCAGGGGCAAAACAGGAAAGAAAAGAGGCCACGAAAACAATGATTAAATTTGGCAAAAAAAATATTGAAAGGACATTTGTGTGTCTAGTTTTATAATGACAAACGAACGAATCCCTTTTGCGGGATGGCAAACGAGCGAAGCCCACGTTTCATAATGGCAAAGTTCCAATTATCTCGGAAGGCCTCGTTCTTCACCACTACTTCAACGCTGCTTTTCAGCGAACGAACAATATTTTATTCTCATAACAAATCAGCATAAGCATCAACATAAGCCAAATTTCAGCAAAACGAACAGGGCAGTCATTTTTTTAAAGCAAAAAAATGCTTGACCATCTAACTACTTATAGATGGCCATCGGGCGTCTTGGATCGGTCGACAAGCGTCGTCGTGCCTCATCAGAGCCACCAGGCTCGCTGCGTGTCGGGCCTATGGTGTGCTTTCGTGCACTGGCCTCCGGCCCAAAACACGCCCGTGGGCGCCGTTTAGTCAAATCTTGTCTTGCTTGCTGTTAGACACGACCATTTTCATTTCGGCCGTCTTGGCCGCCCATAGCCCTACCGCAAAAGACACCAGATTCAAAAACCAGCAGACAAAATTCAACACCAGATTCAAAACCACCAGACAAAAGACAAGATTATATCATTATATGAATATGAGCTGTTTTGTGCAATGTTGTCTCATTAAAAACCTTTCTAGGTAAAATTCATCCTTGTGAGAAACCCTAGAAACAAAAAAATAGTACATCCAACTCTAAAGTGTCAAAGTCTTAGTTCTTCTATCCTATTACAATAGCCAACATCAATGGCAAAGTCATTGTGACAATGTGACTTAGTGAGTTCACAGCACTACAACAGCAAAAGTCAAAGAGACTTTTCCCTGTGTGCCATTATAAAAGATCGTAATCCTGTGTGCCCCTGGAAAAATTTAGCGGTCTTCAACGCCACTACTTCAACTTTTTTGGATCCTCTATGCTACTTCCGTTAGTTCAGGCTCTAACGCCGTCAAACTGCAGGTGTGAAAAGACGAAAATGCCCTTAAGTTCAAATATGTTATTAATTTTTTTAGCATCTTAACGACTTTAAATGAAAAAACTCAAAATTTTTCTAAGTTATAGAATCATATCAAATCATAATTTTTTATAAAAATTAAATTCAAATAATTTTATATAAAAAAATAGATGATTTTTTAGATATACAATCATATCTAGTTTTGAGTTTTTCATTTGAAGTCGTAAAGATGCTAAAAAAATTAATAACATATTTGAACTTAAGGGCATTTTTTTTTTTCATTCAAAATCATAAAAAATTGACTTTGAACAAAGTTAGAGCCTAAACCGACTCGTTAAAAGTGGCATGGAGGACCCAAAAGTTAGAGTAGTGGCTTGGATCACTTGAATTTTTCAGGGCACACAGAGATTACGATCTTTTATAATGACACACAGGGAAAAGTCTCAAAGCCAAAAGGCCAAAAGTTCTATCCTATTACAATAGCCAACTGCCAACATCAGTGGCAACATGCCAACATTCATAGTGACTCACTGTCTCACTCTGTCACACCAAAAGTGCCTGAAAAAACATACAGAAACAAGTAATGTTAGTGAACTTGAATGTAAAGAAGCAATATGGAAGTTTCAGTTGAGTGAGTGACTACCTCTCCTCTTCTCTTCTTCTTCTTCTTCTATCCACCACCAGCAGTACCGCCGCTACCGCTGCTGGTGCCGCTGCCTTCACCTTGTTCATCGATGAAGAGGTTTTTGAATGCCTCCTCCAGGTCCAGGTCCTCAGGTGTATGTTGTTCCCTTCTTGCATCTTGCTCCCAGTCCTTGATGCAGGTGAGCATCTCCACATGCTCAGGCAACAAGCGTCGCCCTCGGTCTTCAAGTATCCTGGATGTATAGCTGAAACAAGACTCGGAAGAGACAGTAGATACAAGGACAGACATGATATCTCGAGCCATAATAGATAGGATTGGATAGGTTAGCTTGTGGTCACGCCACTAGAGGAGTATGTCAAAGGATTCCTCATAACATGTGACAGGGTCACTATCTAAGTAAGCTTTGAGCTCACTGACAATAGATGGAGTAGATGAAGATGAGGGGAACCGACAGGGGATTCACCAGGACCTCCAAAGACCCTTTCCCATGCCTGTTTTGTCTTACCAGTATGAGCTGAAGGCACTGAAACCCTCTGAGACCTCACTGCATCAAATTTCTGTTCATACTTGGCAAACAATCTATACAATTCATCTTTCACATCACCATAGTATACACTATAGATGCATCCAGTTGCCTTACCAAGCAATTCAAGCACATTAAATAACCCTTTCATCTTAGCTCTAGGATCAAGAATGAATGCATATGAATAAATCAGTGGAATTTTCTCCCAATATTTAAGGAATTTAAGCTTCATAGGAGTAGCAATCATTCTAAAATTAGCATCTCATTCAGCATTTTGCAAATGTTCAGCCATGTCAAGCATATGGTGCAAAACAAGTGGAGCTGTGGGATAATAAACACCAGACAGGACAACAGTGGAATTATAGAAGAGTTCCAGGAATATCATTATTTGTTCAGCAGCATACCAATGCTGTGCATTCAACAAAGTAGAACCATAATTAGAGGTAATGAACACATGAAAGACTTCCTTGTATGGCAGCAAGTGTTTGAGCATCAAATAAGTAGAATTCCATCTAACATCCATATCCAAGCCAAACTTTTTAGGTCTACACATATCTCTAGTGGTGGTCTGCCTAGAAACCTTCTCGAACAGAGGATTATGAGCACGCTTAATGTAATCCTTCTAGGCCTGTGTCTCACCTATCCCTAAAGGAAGGTCTAGCCTAGCAATCAAACGGCACAACTCAGTGCGAGCAAGCATAGGATCATACACCTAATTTTTCAAACCATCAGAATTCAGAGCAAGCTTAGACTGGACCATACTAGCATGATTACGTTTTCTCATACAACAATACATGTGCCGTCTCCAATGGCCAGTGCCAGCAGACGATCTAGCAGTGTATCGCGCCCGACAATGTTTACAGATGGCAGCAACTCGAATTTTATTCTCCTTAATCTTATGGAAGTAATCCCAAACAGCAGAAACTTTCTTACCAGAGGTGGTTGAGGTACCATGAGTGTCAGTGGAGACCTCAACTCCACCATCACCGTCGTCGCCATCGAGATCGATGGGCTGTTTGCCGTCACCGAGGTCGATGCCGAACAGACCGGCTGCATCATCACATAGGTCGTCGTCGTCCTCGACTTCCAGCTCGTCGTCCGGGTGCGGCGCCTGGTCCTCGCCGTCGCCGAGGGGATGCTGATCCTCCCCCCGCGTTGCGAGGCCGGAACCGGAACCGCAACCGCCCGCGGACGAGCCGAACAGCCGTCCACGACCTCGACCTCAAGCAGCTCCAGCACCGTCCCTCAATGGGCGCTTTGGCGGCCTGGCCATGTCTACTCTAGAGGAGGAAGACGCGGCGTCAGGCACCAACCTGCACACAAAGAAGAAGAAGAGTGAGAGATGACACTTGAGAGACAAAGATCAGAGAGAGACAGAGCAGAGAAGAGCAGATCTAGGGTTAGGGAAAGTGACGAACATGCTTTCCCGGAGCCCGGTGCCGGAGATGAAGAA